ACGGTTTAACAAGTGGATGTTTGCAGTGACCTCCAGCAGTTTTTCCAACCTTTTTCCTTAAGAAACCATTTTCTATAATTTATTAAACTGACTCAGTGAAGTATTTTATAGATATTTCATATTATATTACAACTGAACAATGAACCCGAACAGTGAACTCAGTAACTGCAGGAAGTTTGTGTAAAACCAGAGAGTTGGATTATTTTATTTATTTTAATTTTATTTAGATTATTTCCTGTTTATTGAACTTTTTATACAATTCTCATTCTGTATTGTGTATTTGTATCATTTTTAACTATCATACAGACTTAATAGGCTTCTTTTTTAACAGATTCAGTGTTTTAATCCCTGACACTTGACTTTTGTTCTATTAAACAATTTATATTCCATTTAGTTTTCTTCACAGAGGTGAACCAAATGCTCAGATATAGGCCTGCTGTGTATATTTTTGAAGTTTTCTAGCTCGCTTTAAACCCCAATGTTGGGAACCACAGCACATACTGGGTTGTATTTCTGTGCTGAATGGTATCAGGAGCCAACATTAGTGAAGCATCAGCAGCAGTGAGGAGCTGCAGGTGAACAGTCAGGGCGGATATAATGAATGACACACAGGATTCACTGCACATTACATGTTTGAGTGTTTCCACCATTTTTTAAGCTTAGATATTTGTGAACTTTAGTACATTAGCAGTTATTTATTCATGTTTTTGTTTGTTCATGTGTTAAAGTGGTAACGTTGGCAAATTATTGATTGATGATTTCACAAATGTATCTATTTTTGGAACGCAGGAAAGAGCTGATCAGCTCATCAATTTGTTTGATAAAAGCCTTAAAACTGGTCTCAAACTCTAATTGTCTTAGGGCCACTTCAATGTTCAAGTGCTACAAGAAACCTTTGACCTTAGCCAAGATTTTTTTGCACCAAACAAAATACTTCTGTTTTTAAAGAGAATTGTGTTTTTGTGTTCATTTTGTATGAAGGTGTAGTTTAAATTGATACGGAAAACTAGAAAAAGGAATAATAATTCTCAACCCTCTAAATGCAGCTGTAGACAGTGACTCACTCTCCTCATTTTATATTTTAGGAAGCTGCAGTCGATATCCAGCTACAAAAAACCATCCACAGTTAGAATACAGGGTACAGAGTACAGAGTCGTTGCCATGGAGATGACACTCTGTCTCATCTGGTTGCATTGGTGTGAACTGGCTGGTGTGCAGACCGACACGTTGCAAGTTTTACACAAAACACATATTTCATATTCCCACACTTATATTACAATACAGGCAGATCTATAAGGTCTAAAGGTCATAAAACAGGAACTAATGGTGAAAACTGATTTGGGTTCAGCCTGAGAGACGCTGCCATCTAGTGGACGACAGCGTGTAAGTCCTGTTGATGCATTGAGGGTTCAGTAATAAATGTCATTAAACTTATGTGTCTCAGACTGAAAATAAAAAATAATAACTTGTTTTGGAAATCTAACCTCATTAACATTGTTAAAAACTTGTTTTAGAGGATTTAGGATTCAGTAATTAACTCAGGGGATGGTTATATTTGTAATTTCTTGCTTTGGAGATTGAATCTGAGATATACTTATATGATGATATTTCGCAGATGCTCTGACACTGAATTGATGACACTTGTGACTCAAAGGTGACCTCAAAATAGGTTTTTAGCCATAATTTATGAATTAACTCTCATCCATTCTGCCTTTCACCGCCTGCCTCATTCTGACTGCAGACAACGTATGAAAGCGCTGAGCTAATGTTGATCCTGTGAGTGATTTTCACCTCCAGCTCATAGAGAAGCTGCACAGCTAAAACTGCCACGTTTAGTATCTAGACTTTATAAGAATCCATCTTTACGTAGTAATCAAGTACATGTGTAATGTATATTCACTGGAATCAGACATGTGTCATCAATATAGTGATAACTTCCATTCGGCCCAAAAATATACTTACTCATTTTATTATTTGTTGTGTGGAGAGACATGGTTTTAAATTGTAACTTGATCGGTTGGTGGAGGCCTTCAGCTTTATTCAAGTAATATTCTAATACGTGACCTTAACTTCTACCAAAGTCCTTTTATGGAAAGATATCTGTACTTTCAAAATGAAGGTATAGATTTATGAGGTGTTTTTAAATATTTTTGTATACAATAGACACCAATAGGTTTCGAGCTGAGAGCCACAGGAAGTCACACAGTACTGACATTGTTAGTTTGCATCTACAGATGGCACACATGGTGCTGTAGAGTGTAACTAATGTGACAGCAATGGGGTTGAAATGTTTTACTGTTACATGAATGAGCTGGAATATAAAAATACTTACTGGAGTTTCCTCTCAGACTGATCTATTTATAGGCCGCAGGTGGAGTTCGGTTCAGAAACAGGTCACATCACTTTTGCTCTTTCCTTCCTGCCTGTTGCAGAAACTATACATTTACCCCTGGGGGAGTTTTTGTCTCAGACGAGAACAAGCTGAAGATGAATCATGAACCTGATCATCACCAGCAGGGATCCACAAGGATTTCTACGAACCATCAGGTACGACTGCTCGACCCAAAGTAACGTCCTTAAGTTTCCTACCAAATTAGCTCTGGCCTGGATCCAGTGAATCACTTCAGTTCCCAAAGAAAACCTGATATTTTTTGGTTCTACTTGGGAAAAACTCTGAAAAAAATATTTTTGGTCAAAATAAGTCATAAGTAGGTGCTTGAACCCTGTTGGTGAAAATGCCTGAGCCTCAAACAAAGTTCTTGTTGGATTGTCTGACAGTGTCTGAAAACATCCTCTTGTTGTGATTAGGGGGCCGCTTCCAAGATGAGTTTAAGGTATCAATCTCTAGTTCCAAGTCTTCTTCCATACATCATGGTGTTCATTTAGTAAAGTATGGTCCAATTTAGAGTAAAATAGATGATAAAGCAGGGAATGCGTTAGGGCATGTGTCAGATGTGTGATTATCTGTTTCTGTAAGAAATTAAAAATTGTTCCACTACCACAAAATAAGTTTCAGATGCTATTTATACCCAACAAACACTTTGTTTCAAGCATTGGGACACCCTAAAGGTATGCCACTGAATTGGGGACCTCTTCTATTTACTGTTCAAATACATGATTTTGACTCTTCCATGTGTGATTGAAAGATTCGTCTTTATGCAATACTGTTTTATCTCCTGATAATCAGACTAATTTGTCATTTAATTTATCTTCACTCTTCAGTGTGACATTAAACACCAGTTTAAGGGAGGCAAAGCTTGAGTTGGGACGCAGTCTGAAATGGATTGTGGGATACTAAGGGCCAACAAATATGCCGGTTATATCACTCAGACTGGTTTTATCAGTCTTTGGACTGGAGAGCTGCCTCATCGACTCGATATGACATTTTTGGTCTTGGAATGTGGACTTTAAAGGAAGCAGAGCCTGAAACAAACACAATGGACTCCCTGAAGTCAGTGTGGACGAGCTATCGGGTGAGTTTCTAAAGATAAAAACAAACTTGTTGATTTGAAGAAACTGCATGAGAAACCCTGAGTGAAAATGTGCTATGTGGAAAAATACCCTGCTGTAGAAGGCCAAAAATCTCAGAGTTTTTATAAATCAATGTGTGGATAAAAAAAATTTCACAGCAGAGATAAAAAAACAGACAAAATGAACAGATAATCAGGAATTCTTGTGTCAGTGTGAGTGCAGCAGTATTTGTCACAGTGTGAGTTACAGTGTGAATACTCAGGGAGCAAACAAACTTTACTTCAGCACTGGAACCAAACTGACTGTTGAATCTGGTAAGATGAACATTTTTCACTTTAAAAATGTGTCTATAGAACTCTATATTTGTCATTCACTTTTTTATTGATACAAACTGACCTGCAGACTGTACAGCAAAAATCAACAGCAGCAAAGAAAACATCAGCTGCACAGCACTATGATAAATATTACAAACTGAAATCAAAATACAGATTAAGGAACAAACAGCATGAAAGGGGATAAAAAATGAAACAATACGACTAAAGTAACACACACTGTAAGTTAAAAAGTCCCATCAGTGTGAGTGCAGCAGTATTTGTCACAGTGTGAGTTACAGTGTGAAGGATCAGGGAGGATATAAACTTTATTTCGGCAGTGGAACCAAACTGACTGTTGAATCTGGTAAGATGAACATTTTTCACATTTTAAGTTCAGTTTTATTCCACTTTTGTAAAGTTGAACCTGATCAAACTGACCTAAAACATGCAAGGCTGCAGAATTTTGCATCACAAAAGTGAACGAACAATTTGAAATCCCAATGAGTAATAAGACAATAAAAACAGATTCAAACTGTTTTAAACTTTGAAAAACCATCAAGAAATGAAGCTTTTTATGAAAGTGTGAAATATTATGATGAATATGTACATTAAAATAAAGATCAATGAGTAAACAAAAGATAAAAGTCGCTTAAAAAGATCTGAATTGAAGGCAACCCGAGGTGCAGCAGTAAGTAAAAAATAATGATGATGATGATGATGTGGAAAAACATTTTCAGCTGTACAAAAAAGAAAATAAATTTTTGCCTTGATAAGAAAGAAAAAATCATGTTAAGTCAAAACTATGCTGTTATTATTGTATTATAATGTACACTTAACATTAAATTAAAAAACAAAATACAATTTGAGATGAATGACTATAAATAAAACTCACATCAGTATGAGTCCACAGTATTTGTCACAGTGTGTGTCCCAGTGTGAAGGATCAGGGAGGATTTAAACTTTATTTCGGCAGTGGAACAAAACTGACTGTTGAATCTGGTAAGATTCATACTTTTATAGTTTTACACAAACACACTTACGCAAAAAGTTGAAATAATGAGATTTTTATCGCACAATTATAACTTAATATTATTTTTTTTAGTATCTGGCAGAAATTGGAAATGGGATGATATTTTTTTAAGTTAAGAACACAAAACAATTATCAAACTGGTTTAAATTGTGAAAAATAACAGAAGTGTGAGTGCAGCAGTTTTTGTCACAGTATGAGTTACAGTGTGAAGCAGCAGGGAGGAAGCAAAATGTACTTTGGCAGTGGAACCAAACTGACTGTTGAGTCTGGTAAGATTAATATTTTTATGGTTTTACACTTTAAAATGTGTCAATAGAGGAACCTTCATGGTTTTATTTACATTTACATTATTTAATCCTTAAAGAGTTTAGTAGAAACTTACCTGGACCCAGACAGCAGAGAGAAAATAATTATGCTAAATATTTTATCTCTTTGTCTCATAATTTTGACTTAACATAAGAAAAGTCAACAGAAATTTGAAATGGGACGATTTTCAAAGTTAAAAACAAACAAAAAAAGATGAAACTGGTTAAAATTAAAAAAACAACAACAGAAGTTTGAGTGCAGCAGTATTTGTCACAGTGAGTCTTACAGTGTGAAGGGTCAGGGAATAAACAAGCTTTACTTCGGCAGTGGAACAAAACTGACTGTTGAAATGGGTAAGATTCATATTTTTATGGTTTTACACTTAAAAGGGGCCAATTCATTTTTTTATTCCATTCATAAAGAGTTTAACTGAAACTCAGGTAGGTAGGTCAAACCTACCTGGCAGACTGTACAAGAAAGAAACACATTAAATACAGATTATTTTGTAAAGATAAATGAAATGATTAGTTCGATTATCAGGATATATGACAATTTTGTCTGCATAAAGACGAATCTGACAAAGTCATGTATATTGACAGTGAACAGAACAGGTCAAACAAACAAACAAACAAACAACAGGATCAAAGTCTAAAAGCCAGCAGAAGCAGATAAAACTGACAAAATGCATCATAAAAGTGGATAAAAATATAAACCGAGAAAAAAAAACATTAAAAAAGTCAACAATAAGAGAACAATAAATAATAATCAGCAGCAGTGTGAGTGCAGCAGTATTTGTTCCAGAGTTTATTGCAGTGTGAATGATCAGAGAAACAAAATTTACTTCGGCAGTGGAACCAAACTGACTGTTGAATCCGGTAAGATGAACATTTAAACTTTAAAAAAAAATGTGCCGCTAGAGTTTTATTACAGTACAAACTGACCTGCAGACTGTACAGCAGTTATTCTGTCCTGATCCTGATGAGTAATAATAATTAAAAAAGTAAAAAAAATAAATAAACATAGATATTACAATAAACCAGTTGATATTAAAACACAGATTAAAGAACAAACATGAAAGTAGACACAAAATTAGACAATGACAATAAATAAAATAAATATAAATAAAAAATCCTGTCACTGAGTGCAGCAGTATTTGTCCCAGTGTGAGTTACAGTGTGAAGGATCAGGGATTTAAACTTTATTTCAGCAGTGGAACCAAACTGACCGTTGAATCTGGTAAGATGAACATTTTTATGGTTTTACACTTTAAAATGTGATGATAGAAGTTATTTATTTGTCATTTTAATTGGCTTTTATTACAGTTTTTTAGTTGGTTTGCTATAAACTGACCTGGACACATGTAGACTGATGAGTTATAATGAAATTAAATGTTAAAAACAAACATGAAACAGGATCAAACTCGTTGAAACTGCACAAATACACAGCACAACATGACACATAACAACAAATGATTTATTATTAAAATACAGATTTGAGTTTAAATGTCATGAAAGTGGATGAAAATGTGATGCAGCAGTATTTGTCACGGTGTGAGTTACAGTGTGAAGAATCAGGCAGGAAACAAACTTTATTTCGGCAGTGGAACCAAACTGACTGTTGAAACCGGTAAGATGAATTATTATTCATGAAGAGATGTTGGTGAGGTTTTTTACATTTTTGAAAATGTTTGACTAATGCAAAAGTAAAGAAAATTCAAGAATTCATAAAAATATTAATATATATTATATATATATAATATTTAAACTGATTAAACACGCAAAAAAGATTACACTAAAGATTAAACAAATGAATAAGTAACAGAATTAAAAGTTAAATCAAAAACAACCAAAAAATAAAGCTAAGAATGATAAAAAATACTCTGGGTCAGTCAAAACTATGAGAGTCAAAATTATATAAACGAAAAGCTCGACCTTTTAATGTAATGACAGTATACTGAAGTATATTTTAAGTTTGAGTAAAAGTTAACAATTTTCAGTACTGAATATCACGTACAATAGATACAATTGTTGTTATAGAGGTTATATGTTTGTATGAGGTATGTGTATGAGTGTGTGTGGTGGTGTGTATGGAACTGGAGGCAAACTGATCTTCGGTGATGGCACGAAGCTCGTCGTATTAACAGGTTGGTGATTAAAGTAAAATAAAGTTTTAATTGAAGATATTTAAGCGTTAATCAGGAGTTAAACTGGTCCCAGTCTGGTCTGTGGGTCGTACTGGTTTTTGTTGAGCCGTGAATTGCAGTGTGACTGGTCAGGGAGAATACAGGACTGTGTTTGGAAGAGGAACAAAACTGACTGTTCAGACCAGTAAGTAAACCAGTTAGAAAGTTTTTATTTGCACAACCTTTAGTTTGAGACTGGCTGATACATAAAGGGTTAATGGAGTCCTCATAGTGAAATTATTCCAACAAACACTGATATTAAAATCAATGGAGATCAGTGAACAAACAGAAGCTAAAGCCTGAGTGCAGCAGTATTTGTCCCAGTGCGAGTTACAGTGTGAAGAATCAGGGAACCAAACTGTATTTCAGCAGTGGAACCAAACTGACGGTTGAAACCGGTGAGATTTATTATTATTTTATGGTTTTTCTCTTTAATATTATTTTATTTGCATTATTCAGTTCTTAAAGAGTTGATGACACATTTAAAAGTAAAAAAAACATAAAAGAGGATAAACTAGTTTAAACTTAAATTATTAATAAGTTATTAAAAAGTGTCATTATTACATCATTAAAATATAAAATAAAAGCACAAACACACTGGAGAACTACGTCAACCCACATTATTTAATCCAGGATTAAATGTTAAACTGCTGTAAGAGTCAAACTATAATGATTGTATTTTTGCATCAATGCAGACAGAACAAAAGAACAAAATCAAATACAAATGAAAATTCTAAAAAGTTCTTATTTTAAAACAAATTGTATTTTAATATGTTTTTAGGAAAATGAATTGTTTAGTGAGTTGAGGTTTTCAGTCAGCTGTCAGTCACTGTGTGAGAACAAATGCAGAGAAACTGATTTTTGGGAGAGGAACTCGGCTGACAGTCGAACCCGGTAAGACAATGAAGTTACAAATATTTAAAAAAATGTTTTCTTAAAGAAGGGAATCAAATAAAAATGACAAAAACCAAATGAAACGTAGCAAAATAGAAACCAGAGGATAATTAAAAATATGTATGGAAGCCCATTTCCACCAAAAAGGAAAAGTTAAGAATTATAACAAACAAATATTCTCTGGGTCAATCAAAAGAGTCATTTTTGGAGTTATTAGTTATTTTTGATTTAATTATTGTCATAATTTTGATTTAGTGTCATAGTTTTAAGTCTAAATTACGAGACACAAAGTCACATTTTTGACTTTTTAAGTAAATCTACAGTAAAGTACAGTTTAATAAAGTGTTATTGTTGAGGTGAATATTGTTCAGTGAGTTGAGGTTTTCAGTCAGCTGTCAGTCACTGTGTGAAAACAAATGCACAGAAACTGATTTTCGGGAGAGGAACTCAGCTGACAGTCGACTCCGGTAAGACGATAAAGTTACAAACATGTTTTTAGATATTATTTAAAGAAGTTCTAAACCAACACTGCAAAAAAATCTCCATCTTGTTGAGTGATGTTTGTCTGTAATTGAGTCCTAAATGTTCAAATGTTAAATCTGTCATTATAGTGAAAATCTTTCAGCTTTATTAGTGAAGATAAACATTGAAATACAATGTATCCACAAAAAACTAAAAAAAGTCTAATTGTAAATTAATTAGGTGATTATATTCAGTTAAGGAGAATATTGAGGCTAATTTTTGCCTTTTTAGAGAATATCATCACAGAAAAACCCTGAAACTCCACTGAATTACACACAAATATTACATCAATAATACATTCAAAAATCAAGTTTTTCTTATTTCGAGATGTTTTTATTGAATATTTTGAAGATAAAAATCCAGTGAGATCGGTTAAAAAGCGGAAAATGAGAGGTTGTAAATGATGGAGACGTGAGTGAATGTGGAGCTGAGCTCAGTTCAGTTTTTGTCACATTGTGTCTCATGGTGTGAATACTGGGAGTTACAGTAAACTGGTGTTTGGATCCGGCAGCAGACTGAACGTCCACAGCCGTAAGTGTAACACTGAAATGGTAAAAATGTGACGTAGAGACTATAATGGAGTGCAAACCTTCCGATGCTTTACCAAATTGTGTGAAAAATGAGAGAAAAGTTCAATAAATGTATAAAATTCAAGAGCTTCGTGCAAACGTTGAACAGATTAGTGAGAAAAAGCAGTTTTACAGCAGCTGGTGGAAACCTCTGACCTCGGTTCAGTTTTTGTCACGTCGTGTCTCATGGTGTGACTACTGGGTCCAGTTACGGTAAACTGGTGTTTGGATCCGGCAGCAGACTGATTGTTCAGAGCCGTAAGTCTTTTTTAACCGTCTGTTTTACTTTTACTTTGAAAAGAAAAACGAATCACAAAATTCTGTTCAATCCAAAACTTTCAACAAGACTTCTGAAACCTCACTGACTGTAACTGTTGAAGAAGATTTGACATTGATTGAAGTGACAGCTGAGGCTTTTACACTGAAAGGACAAACTAATATCTAAAAACCTAGTTATTTTGCCTGAATGATTTTAATACCTTTATCTGAAAAACTGAAAAAAATTATCAAATTAACAGAAAACGTGAGAAATCTTAATTTCCGGATTTTTGATGATTTGATGCAGATTAAAACGTTTGTTACATTAACAGTTTAATAAACTCCAAATAACCATATACACATAAAATATTCAACCACTTTAAGTAGCTAAACTTAGATTTAAAAAAGGTGTAACGTTTTATGACGAGTTCATTAAAGTGTAACTTTGTGTTAAATCTAAGGCTCTGTGAGGTTTTCAGTCAGCTGTCAGTCACTGTGTGACATTTGGTGCAGAAAAGATTATTTTTGGGAGAGGAAC